TCCATGGCATCATGTTTAAGATAGCCGGATCCCACACGGCCAACTGCACAGTTTGAGTCCTGGACCCAGCAGCTTAAGAAGTAAGCCAGGGGCCTGTGCATGTCTGAAATCCCAGAAGGAGCTAGAGACAGAGGGAAAGGGATTATGGCACGACCAGGCCCCACCGGGAGGTGCTTCCTTTCTGTTCCTTTCCCTCTCCCCTCTGGTGAGCTCATGTGCCATCTGGCAAATTAAAAAGAGAGAGAGAGAGAGAGAAGATAAAGAAGTAGAGTCCTTAATAATAATGGTTATGGTTAGCAGATGGCATAGCAGTTACATCTCTGGACTCCCATGTGGCCAACCATGGTTTGAGTCCCAGACCTGGTGGCTTGAAAATAACATTGGGTATGCGTGTGCGCGCCCTAGATCATGGGAGGTGAAGGGATTGCAGTGTGGCCATCCCCCCTGGGGGGGAATTTCTCACTATTCCTCTTACAGTCTCTGTCTCTCTCGGGCGAGCACACATGCCCTCAGGCAAAAAAAAAAAAAACTTAAAAATAATTAGCATCTCCCCTACCCTGAAAAAAGAATATTTGATATACTCTCTTTAAGAAGTCTGAGAGGCTCTGTTCCGGCTGTTATAATCAGTCTTACAATAGTTCCATAGGTTGTCATTTTAGTGAGTTCAAATGGGGGACATTTCTGGCATCGTCTCTCCCTAATGATCTCAGCCCCTTGGTATCTTGGTAGCTAACCGGGAAAGTGTCCGGCACTGTGGAGAGCTCAGACCAGAACTGGTGGTTGGAGGGGCCTCAGCATGTTGCCGGTGCATGATGGGCGCGTCTGAAATAGGCAGCGCCCGTCACTCGCTCACTGCATGCCGGTAGCTCCAAGGAAGCATACTTGCTTTAACTGAGCCCGTACAGTATCCCTGATGAGTAGGTGAGGAAACAGGGAAGGTGGCAAAGTGACATGCTCACAGACATAACAGGGAGAAGAGCCAAGATTCGAAGGTGGGCAAACTGATAGAAGGGTCTGGGTTCTTTTTCAGTTTTGTTTTTTAATTTGCCAGAGGCTGTGTGTACTCACTAATAAAAGATTAGGGAAGGGGATGAGAAAGCACCTCCCATGGGAAGTGGTCATCCCACCATCCCTCTTCCTTCATCTCTCCCTCCTTTCGGGATTTTGGGCATGTGCACACACACATGTGTGCACACATGCACACAGACATGCTTGGCCTGTTTTTCAGGCTGCGTAGTCAGCCACATGAGATCCAGCTGCCTTACTGCCCCACCACTGGCTGGCCCAAGAGTCCAGGTTGATAACCTCCATATAACCGCCAGCTCTATTCTAAACGAAATGAGTTTCTACTGCCGTGTACCCTACAGCGGTTCTGTGGTGGGTGGGCACAGAAGGGGGCTGCGACCAGGACCAGATCACAGTTTGTGGGTGCTCACAAGGAACTGTGTGGGAAGTCTGGGGCATTCTGAGCTGTGACCCCAGCTCTACTTCCCTCCCGCCCCTTTCTGTTGGCACCTCCCCTTTTAGGCGCACCCTGGCTGACATCATCATGGAGAAGCTAACCGAGAAGCAGACAGAGGTTGAGACGGTCATGTCAGAGGTGTCGGGCTTCCCTATGCCCCAGCTGGACCCCCGGGTCCTGGAGGTCTATAGAGGGGTCCGGGAGGTAAGAGCTAAGAGGGGATCCCTGATGGAATGCCCTGGCCGGGCTGTGGGTTCCCACTTTAGAATATGGTGCCTGTGTCTCGTGAGACGTGAGTCAGGGTGTGTGGCCACCTTGGGTAAGTTAATGAGCGCTGTGGTCGTGTGTAAAGTGAACACGAGGGCCAGGCAGCGCTGCAGCGGTAAAACACAACACTGCAAGGCTGAGCCACGGGGAAGGGTCAGTGTCTAGAGACCTCCCTGAGTACTCTAGAGGCATCTGCGTGCTCCAGCTGGCTGAAGCTAGGGGTGGGGTGCAGCGGAGAGACCCCACTGGGGGTACTTCCTCTCCATCTTTCTCACTCATTGAAGAAAGAAATAGAAACTTCAGCACAAGCCAAAGAGGGAAGGAGTCGGGATTAACCACGGCACCTCCTTGTGGAGCCGTCGTAAGGACTACACGAGGAGCACCCAGACATGTACCCGGCCCGGCAGGTGCTGTGCGTTGATGGTGACTTCACCTCCATCACCCCCAGGTGTTATCCAAGTACCGCAGTGGGAAACTGCCCAAAGCCTTTAAGATCATCCCTGCGCTCTCCAACTGGGAGCAGATCCTGTACGTCACAGAGCCTGAGGCCTGGACCGCAGCCGCCATGTACCAAGCCACCAGGTAGAGTGGGTGGGGTTGGGAACCAAGGCCCAGTTGGGCACCTCCTGTGATAAATTTCTAGGGGAGATGCTTATATGTTGAATATCCCTAATCTAAAATCTGGGATATTCCAAAATCTAAAACTTTTTGAGCACCAAAATGGCACCTCTGCTTACTGATGGTTCATTGTATACAAACTTTATGCACAAAATTATTAAATAAAATGATCTTTAAGCTATTTATATAAGGTACACTTGAAACAAAAGTGAGTGATCAAGTTTAGAGTTGGCTCCCATCCCTAAACTATCTCATTACATGTATGCAAATATTCCAGAATTTTAAGAAATGTGAAATCTGGAACACTACTTGTCCCAAGCGTTGTGGATAAGGGCTACCCAACCTGTAGCCACTGAGATACCTTAGGAGTCTGTGGCTCCCTCGTCCCTGGTGACTGCAGGGTAGGGAGGATCCCTGATGGGCAGAAGAAGAGAAGCAGCTAAGTAGTTCTTCTAAAGACAGCGCTCCCCATTTGGGTGTGTTCTGTCCCCCCGCACCCCTACCATCACACATACACATGCTGACCTGGGTGTTGCATGCCACAGCACCCCCACAGCCCTCACTGAGAGAAGGGTTCCATATCTCACTTTAACATCTCTTGCATGCACCATCTGTGGTGGCATTGATTGATCGAATTATTCTATTTAACTGTATTATTTATTTACTACTTGTTTTTAATTTGACCAGAGAGGGGTGGGGAAGAGGTGAGAAAGCAAACCGCCAGGTCCGGGACTCGAACCATGGTTGGCCATGTAGGAACAAGTCCAGACTACCAGGTGACTTGAGACTCCCCCTCATTCCGAACTAGGATTTTTGCCTCTAACCTGAAGGAACGCATGGCCCAGCGCTTCTACAACCTTGTCCTGCTCCCACGGGTACGAGATGACATCGCCGAATACAAAAGACTCAACTTCCACCTCTACATGGCGCTCAAGAAGGCCCTATTCAAGCCTGGAGCCTGGTTCAAAGGTGGGATCCCAGAGGCAGGGGAGAGGAGGGGCTGGAGCTCCTGCAGGTGACCGGATGTGAACGTGGCTCGCTCTCCGGCCAAGTTCCAGTGACCGGCCCTGGGTGGGCAGGGGTGTGCCATGTTGTACCTTTTTCTCATCCTGAGTTCGAAGTGTCCGTTCTCTGACCCTCCCCAGGGATCCTGATCCCACTGTGCGAGTCAGGCACCTGTACCCTCCGGGAAGCCATCATTGTGGGTAGCATTATCACCAAGTGCTCCATCCCCGTCCTGCACTCCAGGTAACGGAACCCCAGAGAGTAGGGTTCCCGGGGGTGGGAAGCCGCCGGGAACGGGCCTGGGCGTGGGGCGTGTCTAAGGCAGTGGATGTGTCTAGTGTATTCCATTCGAGTGTAAGTGCTACGGGAACAGGCTCCCGGTGCCTGGCACGTGTAGCTCCGCAACTGAATGGGGAGCACGGGAACAAAGTGGGCTGGGCAGAGGTGTCCAGACCAGGATATCCCGGAGTGGGCTACCGAGACTAGACGTCTAAGGCAGAGGGGCCCGCATGTGGCGTGGTGGTTTAGGTGCTGGCCTCCCATATGTCTTACCACGGTTTGAGTCCCGGACCTGGCGGCTTGCTTTCTCTCCCTCCCTCTGGTGAGTGTATGTGCCCTATAGTAAATTGAAAGAAATAAAATTTAAAAAATAAAACTACTTTAAAAAAACAAAACTCTAAGCCATAGGCAGAGGTTTAAGACGGACCTGTGTGGAGGAGGCAGCTGGGGTGTAAGATAGAGTAGGTGAGGAGGTGGCTTGTAGTGGCCCCCTAAGGGATGCCACAGTGAAAGGGCCACCAAAGAGAAGAGGGAAACAGCCCCAAGGAGGGAGAAGCAGGGCCTTCCTCCAGGACTTCCCCATGACCGGCCCGCCTCCCTCCCACCAGCGCAGCCATGCTGAAGATTGCCGAGATGGAGTACAGCGGCGCCAACAGCATCTTCCTGCGGCTGCTGCTGGATAAGAAGTACGCGCTGCCCTACCGGGTGCTGGACGCCCTGGTCTTCCACTTCCTGGGCTTCCGGACGGAGAAGCGTGAGCTGCCCGTGCTCTGGCATCAGTGCCTCCTGACCTTGGTCCAGCGCTACAAGGCGGACTTGGCCGCAGAGCAGAAGGAGGCCCTCCTAGAGCTGCTACGGCTGCAGCCCCATGCTCAGCTGTCCCCTGAAATCAGGCGGGAGCTCCAGAGTGCGGTCCCCCGAGATGTGGAAGATGTTCCCGTTGCCATGGAATGAGGAAAAGGTCACCCTTCCTGGTCCGAGAGGCATGGGAGGTCACCAGGACCCTTGTTGGTGACTCAAGATGACACTGAGTCTTTATGGCTGAAGACAGCCAGGGTGGTGACAGGCCACTGGGCTACCTGTG